AGAATGAACAATGATATTTGATTTTCGAAGCGAGATAATATTAAATAACATTATTCATTAACATTAATTCATAATGACAATAATTTCATGAATATTATATTTTGCAGTTTTATACAAATGATCGTTATATGTTTTACTCAACCTTTGACATAGATATCGACCTATTTCTCAACGACATCACGCCAGAAGAGACAGAATATGTTGGTTACTTTGATATAGCGGAACGTATGTTTTATTTTTATTAGTATATTTACTAAAACGTATCATTTTTCATACATTATTTGATAAACTTAATTATATAGTATTAATATTTTGATAAATTTATAATTTTAATTTATAATTATTAATATCTTAATTTATAATTTTAATTGTGATATAAATTTGTCCACGCTTCAAATAAAATCATGTTATCTGTACTAGCTGTGCTTCGTGATAAATGTAAAATAATTTTATGAGATATTTAAGCAGAAAATGTTATAACATATTTTCGGCTCCATGTAATATCATTGAGATATTTCATATATATCTTTAGTTTTGCACAAGAAGTATCTCATTAATTTTAAAACGTAAATCGTATTAATTCTTATTAACTATATATTTTATTATTTATTTATTATCTATCATTTATTTCATTATTTAATTATTATATTTTAATACTGATTGATTTGAGTAGTACACATAATCTATGTTCTTATTTCGATTGATGGTGGAGAAAAATATCAGAGAAGAATATGTTAAAAAGTTCGATAATATCATTATAAACTTTTTCTCTAAATATTCTGTAAATGTACATATTATCAGACTATTTTTATTGACAATTAACAAAAAATATAAACTTTATATTAATATAAATATATAAAAATGTGTATTTGTAAATATATATATATATATATATATATATATATATATATACATTTAAATTAAAAAGAAAACATACTAATATAAACCAAGTATGTAAAATACACACAAATATATATTTATCTATATACTACTTTAAATTATTTGTATAATATACATTTATGTATTAATTTCTGTTTAATATTTATATATTGCGTACAGGTGTTACATAACATATAATTATTATTTATATATATACATATATATAATATAATATGTAATTATCATTTATATATATATACATATATAAAAATAATATATAATTTCACAAATTTATATACGTATATATACCACAAACTCTTTACAAAACGATCTATAAAAATAGTTTGTATCAAAATAGAAATATATTGTATATTAGTATAAATATTTCAAAATGTATATTTGTTGATAAATATATATATATATTTTCATAATTATATATATATATATATATATATATATATTTATATATATATATATATATATATATATATAAATTAAAATTAAATAGAGAAAGTAAACAAATATAAACCAAATTTGTAAAATACACTCAAATATATTTATATTTATATACTACTTTATATTTTTGTATAATATACATTTATATATTAATTTCTCTTTAATATTTATATATTGAGTACAGTTGTTACATATCATATAAATATTATTTATATATATGCATATATAATATAATATATAATTATACATTTTATTTAATATATGCATATATTCCACAAATTTTTTTTACCAAACGATCTATAGAAATAATTTACCAAAATTTGATGATTTACATAAAGACGATCTTTTCTAAAGAAAAAAATAATTTTAAAAATACTATTTTGCGTATATGTTTCGTACATACGTTATATTTTATGTTTCTATTTTTATATTTATTCTATTAAGTTATAACCCAGCTAGAAATAATAGTTAAATCGATGTCGAATCAATGTCAAATTGATGCCGAGTTGGTCGATTTGATCTTGATTTTATGTCTTTCCGACCGATCATTTCGAACTGAGAAAGCAGACCATTAAAATGATTGTATATATATAGTGTTTAAAAAATATGAAACCATATATATTGGCATTAATTATAATATACAAATCGTTTAAATGCGTATCGTGTACTTCATGTTAATAGAAAATTAGTTGTCACAATTATAATAAAAAAATAAAATAACAAAAATAGAAAAAGATTTTTATTTATAATAATTTATTTACAATTCATAAAACAATAATCTTTAATATAACCAAAGACAGCACGGAATTTCATTTCTTTGTATAAAGGCGTTTTTCCTGCTGCATAATGATTTAATTGGTAACACGTCCATTTCATAATTCAATTTATTTTCAGTTCTTCTTACTTTCTTATAATAATAGTCTTAACACAAGAATATTGTTGCTCATTATTATGATCCTATAACGAAAGAATATAAAGTATTTTTGGAAGAAAGGAAAAACTGTTCAGTGGAAATTGAGAAATTACTATTATTATTAATAGCAGAAGATTGCTTTCGACCTATTCATACAATTTCCATTACACAGTGTTTGCATATAATGTGTGTAACAATGGAATTAAAAATACGAGACTAGACATTTCCAAATATTCGAAGAACTAAATTTCTATCAATAGTTATAAAACTTTTGCAAAAATCTTAATGGTAATTAAGAAAATGTTTTCCTTCTTTTTGTACTCTTCTTTCATTTTTTTTTCATTGTCAATATATATAATTCGTTTGAAAGAATTTCTCCTAACTTATGGAAGTAGTATAATGAAAAGATTATTTCGTAGCACGTCTCGAAACAAAACGTATATGAGAGCTTATACTTTTAGATATTATATAAAATTGCATGAAACTCATAAGCGGATATAAGCATAAATTACGCAACATTAAATTATTCTAATTTTTGAAACATGGCATATTAACATATATTCTTATATATTATATAACAAGATTTCGAAATTTTTGTACCTTTATGGACCGTATTAAAATAAAAAAAAAACAAATGTAATACAATATTTATTACTATTATATGATATAATTTAAAAATGATACAATTTAAAAGTAAATTTAATTATATTTTAAATGTTTTGTATGGCGGAAAATTGCAAACGTAAATACTGAAGTATTTTATATAAAATTTTATTGATGAAATATGGATCACAATCTTTTCAATAAATCCTAAAAGTTTCAAAGATTATAATCTTTAGTTTGCGATCATATATGTAAACATATATATATATATATATATATATATATATATATATATTTGAATATGTATATGTATATACACAAATAGCATGCATAGATGAGATTAAGACGATTCTGTAGATTGACATGAAAATAAAATTATAATAATCTTAGACAACGCATGATAATAACGTAAAATTATTCAGAAAAACATTCAAACTTAAATCCAGACTTAAATTCTAGTTCAAAAGAGATCAATTTTTATGATAATTTTTTTTTTAATTGTTTTCTTGTTTTAAGAATTAATTGTATAAGTTTTTGTATTAAAATTTGTTGGTAAATTCAAGATATATTTACAATATCTTTAATCGATATTGACTTGTATATTTGACCGTTTTCATATTTTGTTGTTATTTTTTGTGCTGAAGATTACATTTAAGAGAATAATATATTCTAAAACGTTTCATGCGATTAATCATACATTTGCTAACAGCAAAAGAAGATACGTTTGACGATAATACTAATTAAAGTATTTGAACAATAAGACATTTTATAACGTAAGTACAAATTACATATACTGTATATATATATATATATATATATATATATATATATATATATTTGTGCGTTTATATAATTTATAATATAATTATAAGGTGTTTGATAAATTTCAAATCATTTAAAGATTTTTCCTGAACATGTATAAATTATACGTATACAAAATAATGGAAAAAGAATCGAATAACTTAGAAACATCTATATTTTATTTCTTCTAATTCAAATATTTTTAAAAATTATATTAATTACTTCCTTTAAAATTTAGAGAATTTTTAAAATTTTAAATCAATCTAATTTAGTAAACACATTTTTTTTCTACGAGAAAGAAACCCAGGGTGTCTTCGGGCTATGATGGAGTAACTATAGGGTGAATATAATTTATTTATTATTTTTTATGATTTTTATTATTTAGTATTTTTTATTATATTTTATTTTTACTCTTAAGCTCGATATAAATAATAATTTTATTTTTCGAAATATTTTATTTATTTTTATAAATTATTTTTAAATAATTTCACTATCTAATTTCTTATGTATATTTATATTTTACAGTTTACAATTTTGCTACTACGCTTCGTTTCGGTGAGTCTCATTAATTTTACTTAATTTTGGGTGAGAATTTTAGAAAATCCTCTTCGATTTTATCGAATAAACTTTACATATTGTGTATTTTTCTGCGTGAAACACGAATTTGTAAATTAAAATTCGTCCCTCTTCCTCACAGAAGAAATAGAGTATAATCAAAAAGTTTAAAAGATATACAAAAATTCTAGTATGATCAAAAAGATGAAAGGAGAAATCTATGGCATTTATATTTTATATAATCGTTTATTTTCTTTCTTGAGCTTCGATTATTGTTAATAAAAATTAAATCGTATATGATTGCATTTATATATACACATACAGTATATAATTCTATTTAGTTTAAGAGAAAAAAAGAGAAGGATAAAAGGGGAGGAGAAAAGAAACAATAAATATCTAAAAAACTAGTAAATTTGTTCGTATAACATGAAAAAGTAAGAAATATATACAGGGTGTCCCACAATTCGCGAATCACCTTTCATGGGCAGATAGAGCCTGTTAAACTGAATAGAAAATTCATGTATCATTTTGCGATATTCGCAATAATTATTGAGTTATTAACTGAAATATCTAAACGAATGAGCGGATAGAAAGCGGTAGGCCGGACTCGGTGTGCATGTCGGATGACTTCTTTGTTATATGCCGCTTAGTATCAAAAGTATCATCTTACTTTGCGGCGCCACTACATTGGTCGCCGCTCGCTGCATGAGACCGCCTCTTGATCAAATAATGCTTTCTACCTGCTAAATGAAAAATGATTCGCGAATTATGGGACACCCTGTATACATATATATTTCAGTAGAAAAATATACATATGTATTCAAGCAGAAAATATATATGTTTAAGTAAGAAACATATATTTAGTATCGTATTTTTATATCTGATGTGTTAAAACCGATAAGCATCGCTGGTACCAGCTCGTCCTTATTCAGGATCGGTTTCTTCTCCGTTCGTGCCGGTAGCATTAAAAGCGCATTAGCGTCTTTACAGCTGAGTAGCTTGCTGCTGATTTGATGTCCGGTGCTGAATGCAACCGGAAACGCTTCGTTGTTACTCCACTTCAGGATCGCTCTTGCATACTCGGGCCGCGGATCCAAATTATACGACGACATCAACTGGAAATAAAAAATAAATGGTGTATAAATCATTTCTGTTTCGTGAAATATGTAAAAATAATTTGACAAACCTTAGCTTGCACTACGACTGGTTCGGAAGAATCGCCGTGCATCTCGTTCAGGAGGGGTAAAAGAAATAAACGCGCGGTTACGACTGCGGAAACTGGATTTCCCGGCAAACAGATACAGTACTTCTTTACCGAATTGTAAAGACACGTCGCAAATGTCGTCGGCTTCCCCGGTTTCATATTTACGCGACCTGAAAGAACATTTTTTTTAAATCTATATTATCTTTGCGAAATCTTTAAATATATTTATAATTTTGATAAGAGAAAATTAAAATATGCACCAAAATGTATTGTAGCATTGAAATATTTCTCTAAAATGGGTTTCAACATATCTCTATCGCCCATGGACACAGAACCTGTTGTCACAAGTACATCCACTTTTTTTAAAGCTTCCTCCATTTTGCGTACCATAGAGGTCTCCCTACAAAATAATATTTATAATCATTATATTAAAAAATTAATTTTTCGAGAATATATTGACATATGTTTAATTTTAGAATATAAAATCCTTTCACAAATAGTTTAACACATGGCCATATATATGTGTATATTATTTTTCTTCAAAATTCTAAAATATTTGGAATAAAAGAATAAAATATTTTTTTAATATTTTATCTAATAATAGATTTAGAATAAATATAATTGAAAAAAAATAAAATAAAATAATTTTTTCTTCAATAAATCTAAATAAAATTATAATAAATAAATTAAATAATTTCATTATTAATAACAATGCGCACAGAAAACTTAACAAAAATTGTGATGGTATTTACTCATCGACCGCAATTCCAAAATCCAAAGGATTGAAACCATTCTCTCTTAATAGTGCAATTAGAGTTATTCTGTTGCTATCGTAGACATGTCCTGGTTTTAAAGGTTCTCCAGCTTCTTGTAACTCATCTCCAGTAGACAATATACCTACAGTTGGAAGTTTAATAACTTTAACACGTTTGCAACCACAAGCTGCCAGAAGTCCTATTTCTGCTGGACCAATACTTCTGTACGGATTTAAAACTAAGCTTCCTTTTTTTATATCGCAACCAATAGATCTGCAACATCAGAGCAAACAAACAAATAAATATATGACTCCATAAAATTTGTTCCAAAGAAAATATGTGAAAATTAATGAGCTTATACCTAATATCTTGTCCTTCTTTTGGTTGTGTCATTATTTCAATTTCTTTTTCCTCTGTATTATCAGAACTCTTTAATATTAGCTTTGTGTCTTCAACTTGTACAACTGCTGTTGCTTCTGCAATCGAAGATAAAAATGTAGCAAAGAGTTCTTTATGGTAAATAAGGTAATTTGCTATTAAAACCACTCACCATCGGGAATAGGTGCTCCAGTATTCACACGTACACAAGTGCCAGGTTCGAGAGAAACTAATGTAGACTAAAAAAATTTTTTCTTATAGATCTGGCTCGTATTGAGTACTTATTATTATTACAACTTACTGTAGTTCCTGCTTTTACACCACCTAACACTCTTCTTCTACCTTTCCCATCGCTCGCTAAAATCGCATATCCATCTTTAATGGAAGCTCGAAATGGTGGTAAATCGTAATTGGAATATATGGCTTCAGATAATATTCTACCATAGGCATCATTTGTATTAACATTTTCGACTTCTCTATCCTTTTTACAGAATTACAAATTATTTCCACCGCTTCCTTTACAGAAATCATAGGAAATGGAGATTCTCTGGGACGTATTGCTACATGTTCAAAATTTAGCTGAAATAAATTAATTATATATACACAGTCTCTCACACATAAACGCACATATAAATACATTATTTTATTAAAAATTATATGTTTCGTACATACATACATACATACATACATATATATATATGTGTGTGTATATATATATATATATGCATATGTCTATGTTTAAGTACACATATAATAATAATAATATAATAAAAAAAAGTATCTTACCAGATTTGTACAAGACTTGTTATGCGAACAAGATGTAATATTATGTTGCACAATGTCATGTGTATCTTTAATTTTTGTTTTATTATCTAAGATCAAATCTACTGCATGTGGTATCGCAAATGCAATTGCACTCAAGCATTCCGTTGCAGCTTTAGTTGAACCGGGCAAATTAATGATTAGAGTTTTATATCGAATTCCACATACAGCTCTGAAAATACATTAAAAATATAAATATTACATAATTTTATGGATTACAAATTTTATGGATTACTCTAATAAATAGAAATAACTTCACCGAGAAAGCATAGCCATTGGTGTCACTTTCATACTTGACATAAACATTGCTAAAGACATTCCGGGAGCTTCTTTATGTATAGTTTTTCTAGTAGCCTCTGGTGTAACATCTCTCTTAGAAAATCCAGTGCCACCAGTTGTGAGAATAACATCTACTTTGTCATCGCTCCACTCAATTAAATATTTCTGCATTGAGCAAATATGATAAATTAAAATATCAGTATACTACACGAAATGTAGTATATGAAATATACCTATGTATAGCTACCATTATTAAGGCTTCATCATCTTGTACAGTTGCGGTGTAAGATACTTCTCCTTGAAGTATACTTCCCAATGAATCTTTATCCCGAGCATTAATAAGTGCTTTCAATTTAGTACCACTTTCATCCATTTTCTCACCACTTGCACAGGTATCGCTTACTAAATAATTATAACAGAATTATATATATATATTTTTTTTTTTAATTTTTATAAAGAAATAATGAGAGAAACAAATACTTTATATAAAATATATATCCCAGATTTTATGTTAATATTTATAAATAATCAATAAATACTCTACAAAATACATTGAAAATAATTATTTGTTTCTATTAAAAAAGATTATTAATACTTAAAAGTAAAGAATAAAATATGTAACCTCTTAAATATGTATATGTGGAGTTAAAACGTTTTAATCTTTTATTAAAATAGATTTTATTAATGTATTTTTTTTATAACATGAAGTAGATATATTTAAAATACATACCAGTTAAAATTGCAAATTTTATTAGCGTCATTTTTCTAATCTTTTCAAAACTTGTTAACAAGTAGCTATCTGTCATGTGATGCAATGACATCTGTTTTCTTTAACTAAACTGGTTGCACTTTGCACTAGTTTCAAAATAAGATAAAAGTATATACTATATACTTATATATAATCAATTTATGGAGATAAACTAATAATTTATGAAGATAAACTAATAAATAATGCATTTTTAGTGTCTAAAAAATCATACTATGTATTGTGAGTTTGGAATCCTTTTTTTTTCTTTCGCAAATGTGAAAATAGACCTTTCAGTCTCTCAATTATATATTGTACACTATACACGATAATTCTTAGTAATGTAAAACAATCAACAAGTAGTAGAGAATTACATAAAAAATAATCACTGTTCGTCTCCTGCTGAGCAATGGGTCTTTATTCTTGAATAATTATCTAACAATAATGTACCTAATAATAATAGGTAGCAAAGAGTGCACTCGATTCTAAAATACAATGGTATAATATTTTTGATACACGGATGTCTTGTTTTGTTCGGCCAAAAACAAAAGTTATAAACATGATTTTTCTTGTAATAACATTAATTACTCTTAGTTTTCACTAAGCATACAACGTAAGAATAATTATTTTTATTTATAATAATTATTTATATTATAATATTATATATAAAGCGAATTAAGTCACGCTAATTCATGACGCATGTTTTAGAATAATTTCTTAAATCTAATACATTATTCCATCTTTTCTTCAAGACACATTTTTTAAGCAATCATGTTTTAGAATTGCTCTTATGTGTAATATATTACTCCATACATCTTTCCTTCAAGACCTAAGTTTTTAAGCAATTAACAATGGTTTAAGAGGAAGGAATGCAGTTGTACAGGAAATATTCGCAACGTTTCAAATTATTTGGATGGAAGATTAACTGTGTTTCTGTATTCCGTGATTGTGTCCTGAAGTCAGTAATCGACTAAACCTCTGAAATAATGAAAAATAGCATAATTAGTAGCGTTACAAACTCCCTTTATACAATAAATGAGCATTAAGGCTCTTGGATCCTCACCTCGGCCATGTTAGATTGTGACGTTAGAAATATCATTTTGAAATAAAAAGATATTTCGAATTTCAAATGGCTTTAGCATACTTTTCAGAATCCGTAAAATATAAGAGATGGACTGAGCTTCATGTTGCAGCTGTTGATTGAGTATAAAGAAAAAAAATAAAATACTCGAAGTATTTTAAGAATGTGTTAGCTATCTAAAGTGCTGTTTCATCGAAATATCTTTGAGATTTGAAATCGCATCTAAGAATTTTTAGCGTGTTTTCTCTGACGTCACAATTCCAACATGATCGGCAAAAAGCCAGAAGCCTTAACTTATAAATAATTAAATTACAAAAAATTAAAAAATAAAGTTAATTAACTTTCTATAGAAAATTTGCAAAAAGCAGCCATTTCATCGAAAGCTAAAATCCTATATGTATTTGGTGCGGAGTCCTTTGATTTTTCAAAATCCATGGGATTTTACCTACTGCTCCTCGGACTCAGCGAACGAAGAGGGGAATCCCTGTATTTTCTACGCGATTCGGTTCGACTCCGATCGCGATCGTCGCGTCGATCTCTCTCTCTGTCTCGCTCCCGTTCACGATCCCGTTCACCATCCACGTCTCGTCTCTCACGACGCACGTGGTGCCTCGGACTGCGGCTCGGGCTTGGTGAACGAGATACAGAAGAACGCGTGTCGGAACTGTGGCCTTCATAACGATGCCTTCGCTCTCTCTGCCTGTGAAAAGCAAAACAAGCTCAATATCGTCATTCAAAACAAAAATTGTGTTGAAAAGAGGAAAGTTTACAGTTTTTAATAGATATAAATAAAATGTTTATATACCAGTTAATTTTATTAAAAAAAGTAATGAAAAGTGCTAATAATTACATAAATTAATGCTAAATATGTTCAACAGTGCCAGATTTAATAGCTGCTATTAAAAGGATCGTCAATAACATTAAAAATGACAAGTTAGAAAAAGTTTTTACAAGTTTTCGTAAAAAAAAAAAAAAAAACAATTTTATACAAATTTAAATGATGCGCATTTCGAAAATATTTATCATTAGTAACACTCTGTAGAAAAAAATCAAAATATTTCTTTACTTTCGACGGAGTTTCAAAGACATTTCCCGAATCTCGTCCTCTCGATCCTGCCTCTGTTGCTCCATCTTTTCGATTCTCAACTGCTCGGCTTTCTTGTCTGCTTTATCTGAAAGGATACAGAATCTTTAGCTTTCTTATTCTAATGTGTGATGTTAGATTTTTCTTGTATTACGCATCAACTCACATTGCTTATTTAACAAGGCCTGCATTTTCTTTTTAAGCCGCTCCTGAGGTGTGATTTTCATTGACTAAAAGAGATTTAAACTCTTAAAGATATATAATTAAGGAATATCGATACTTTTGGCGTATTAAAAGTCTAATTCGCTATATATAAATCAATATGTATATATGCACTGATAATATGTTATATTATCAGTTGTAAAACATAACTTAATATGCAAAAAAATTCTTTATTTCCTTTATGGAATGATTAGTAGAATGTGTGCAGTTATAAGCAAATTCAAAAAAATAATAGCAAAATGTGTATTCAATTATAATCGTATTTAAATTCGTCTAATGAATTTTAGAATAACATTTTGCATATCACAATTGAAAATTTCAATTTCTTTGTGGCTCGAACAAAATATGTACAATGTCCAAAACAATTATTAAAATAAAATATCAAATAAAGAGAACATAAAATATGTATAATACAACAACGAAAACGAGAAGCGCTTTGTTGAGGCTCCTCGTTCGGCTGGTACTTATTTAGAGACCAGTATGTTCTGTCTTTATTCTCTGCGCATTAAGTGACTAAGAAAGCGTTATGGTTCTTACTGACTTTGTGTCCGACACCAGAATTTGTACTTAACCCTGCTTTTGGCTTGTTCCTGAAACAAAAAGATTAAAAGAATTTATACACAGGAATTTTAATTATGTCATAAATAAATCAAGATCGTCACTTACGTGCTTGTATTAATTGGTATCTTTTGTGTCATTGGATTGGATTTTTCCTCGTTATCAGACAGCTCTAGTTCGAGGCTTGACGATTTTCCGCGTCGACCGTAATACCTATGCAAGAAATAAAAAAATAATAACAGGTTGTCTACTGAAATTTTGTAAAAAAATTTCTTGACAATTTCCCGATTTTTTAAAATTTTAAATAAATTTAAAAAATTAGTAAATGCACATTTTTAATACAAGTTTTCTTATTGCATGCACTTTCAATGTTTTCTATATATACGATTTTGCAAAGTTATCAAGAGTGCAGTTTTCCTAGTATTTAATATTGATTTGTTAATTACGAAAGTAATTTGGATATATATATATAAGATCCATAAAAATTACATGAAATTTTAATAAAAACTTAAATATTGCAAAGATATATTAAACATATGTTTCTTAAGCTTTGTGCTAAATAAAAATAAGATTATCAGAGACATTTTTTTTTAATTCGTTGAATGCCAATAAAATTCCATGAGAATTCCCTAATTTTTCAAGATAGAACAAAATTCTCTGAGAATACCAGGTTTTCAAGATTTTTCCCGAGAGTTTACACCCTGAATAAGTTTTGTACAAAGTTTCCATCATAAAGCTCGATAAAAAAATCTAGAAACATTTTTACCTTGGCAGTGCTGGCATCTTATTGTCGTCGCTGCGCGATCGTTTACAGCTAGATTGACTCCTCGATCTAGATCTCGATGGAGATTTGGATCTCGAGCGAGATTTAGATCTTGATTTCGACGGCGAATAGCGTTTCTTTCGATAGCTGTCCCTCGAACGACTCCTGTTGCGCGATTTAGATCTCGATCTTGACTTGGACACGCTGCTCGAAGACGAGCTCCTCGATTTCTTCAAACGCGAGCGAGATCTAGACCTCGACTTCGATCGAGAAACTGTACGCGATCGAGATTTACTGATGCTTTTGCAGCGCGAGCGTGATTTGCTTCGCGTTCGCGATCGTCTTCTTGAACGACTTCTTGTCCGAGATCTTGTGTACTTTCGAGCTCTTGAACTCGTGCCTCTTGATCTAAAAGAACGTAAAACATAACAAATTGTATAACACGTTTATTCAATTTTTTGTTGAATTTATCTGCGTTAAAAAACTCCCTGATCTTCTCGGTATTTTCAATTAAAATTTCATCTATAGATGCAGCTTTTTAAAAGTTCCTTTATTATACACGCTTTTTAATGTTCTTAATTTAATTTTCTATTCGTACAACTGAAAAGTTATCAAGAGTGCAGTTTTTCTAGCATTTAATATTGATTTATTAATTGTAAAATTAATTTAGACAATAGCAAAGTACAATATGTCATTATATTTAAATGTTAAAAATATATGCAAAAATATAAAAAGAGAAAACGAAAAATAATTTATTATGATGTCTTACAAGGGATATCAATTTATTTAAATTATTTATTAAATTAATTATTTATTAAATAAATAAAAAATACTAATACATTTAAATATTATCTATTAAAAAATTAAACAATTTTTTATGAAATAAGACTGACATGAAATATTGATACTGAAATAGATTGTCAATAAAAGATCACATATTTAAGAAAAACTAAAATATTGTAACGATATGTTCGACATATATTTCTCAAGTGCTAAATAAGAGTGAAATTATTAAGAGCAATTTTTTAAAAAATTCCCTGAATTCCAATCTCAAATTTCATGTAAGAATTCCCTGATTTTTTAAGGTAAAACAAAATTCCCTGAGAATACCAGGTTTAAGGTCCGAAAGTATACACGCTGTTTCTTTCTCTCTCGTAAAACTCACCTAGAACTTATTCTGGATCTACTTCGCTTCTTGTCATACGATCTATAAGACTTAGTTCTACTAACAGAACGTGAACAACTTCTTGATCTAGATTTGGATATTTTCCTATTGACAGTCCTCTCATTGAAAGCAGGACTATCCGACCTCCGTCGTCTGAGATACGAATAATTGACTTTTCTCGAATTCGACGAAGACACGTGCGATGTGCTGCCATGAGTCTCCTCCTCCCCACCGAAGCTCGTGATATAAGTAATTTGCCCAGCATTTACAGGCGATGTAGATCGCGATCGCGATTTGGAAGATGATTTTCTATAAGGATTGTACTCTGGGCTCTCTCTAGCTGCGTAACTAAAGGAAGAATAATTTACATAATTAATATAATATATAATATATAATATAATATATAATATTAATATAATATATAATATTAATATATAATATTATATAATATATATTATATATAAATTAGATATTATATATAATATATATTATATATATAAATTAGAAATATTTATAAAATATAAATATTATATATATATATATATATATATATATATATATATATATATATACAGGGTAGTCAAAAAGTATCGGACCCCCCCAATATTTCCGTTCCCTTGCATTTTACAAGAAAATGTTTCAGACAAAAGTTGTAGGGTTTAAAAAGATCTATTTACTGATCTTATCAGTTTGACCTTGGATGGCGTCGCCAAGGTCAGATCGAAATTACATTAATTTTTTTAAATGGAACACCTAACTTTTTATTGCATATTCTTGTAGCTTATCTCGAGACCTTTCCAAAACACTACAAGAAAGTTTATTTTCGTTGAGTACTTTCCGAGTTGTGAGGCTTGAAAGCTACAGTGTACTGTAGTGTGGGTCCAGCCAGTTAAGGCAAGAGTGGCGTGTGCCCAGCCAGTTAAGGCAAGAGTGGCGTGTGTCCAGCCAGTTAAGGCAAGAGTGGCGTGTGGGTCCGGCCCAGACATTTCCCAAAAGTCTGGCCGGACCCACACGCCACTCTTGCCTTAACTGGCTGGACACACGCCACTCTTGCCTTAACTGGCTGGGCACACGCCACTCTTGCCTTAACTGGCTGGACCCACACTACAGTACACTGTAGCTTTCAAGCCTCACAACTCGGAAAGTACTCAACGAAAATAAACTTTCTTGTAGTGTTTTGGAAAGGTCTCGAGATAAGCTACAAGAATATGCAATAAAAAGTTAGGTGTTCCATTTAAAAAAATTAATGTAATTTCGATCTGACCTTGGCGACGCCATCCAAGGTCAAACTGATAAGATCAGTAAATAGATCTTTTTAAACCCTACAACTTTTGTCTGAAACATTTTCTTGTAAAATGCAAGGGAACGGAAATATTGGGGGGGTCCGATACTTTTTGACTACCCTGTATATATATATATATATATATATATATATATAGATATATAATATTAATATATAATGTATATACTATATATGATTAATATACAAAATATTAATATATATAATATATAAAATATTTCTGAGAAAGTATAATGAATTATTACCTAGGCGGACTCATAACGCGACCTATCATTTTCTTTTCTCTAAATGCACGTCGTTCTCTACGTGAACGGCGACCCTGTTTTAATATACATAGTTTTATTAAAGTTGATAATCAAACTTATTTGTCTACATTATATTTTAGATATTATTTTTAAGTTTAAAAAATTTTAAATTTAAAAATTATATATTTCGAAACTCATATAATTATTTACCGAATACATAGCTTTCTCTTCCTCTTGCTTTCGAGCTTGCCGCATATTTTCAGCTTCTTCAAAATCTTGCGTTAAAAAGCTAAAGTAATCGGCGCCTAAAAGTCCATATTTTTGAGCTACCAGATTCATTTCGTGCGCCTGAGATGGTTCTATTTGAGATACGTCCACGCAGATATCTAATAGGATTAATAAAATATATTTAAAAAAATCGTTCTCCCTATTGCTTGAAAAAATACATTAAATTTATGTAAAATAAAATAATTATGCCTAAATCTATGTCGCTATCTTCATCATCTCCCTTTTCCTCCGATATCACTGGATCTCCCGATTTTACTGGCTCGGGTATCGGTTCTTCCGTTTCATAATTATAACCAATAGCAGCACTATTAGCAGACTTTCTCTTATCCTTTGCGGAATCTAACTTTGTGGATGAACCGAATTGCTCTTCCAAATGTATCTGATGAAGAAACTTCTCCTCGGTCACTAAACAGAAAGACATTTAATTAAAGACACAAGCAGAATTCAGAAAATCTCACATAGCAGAAAAGACAAGCAACGTACCTCCTAGAAATTCATTTTGTACGATTATACGATAGCGTTCGTAGTTGATATGTCTATCTTCACTCGTCAGAGCGATATCAACATCAATGGTGTTGGATATCTCTGGTATCCAATCGAGATGTGCCCGTACATCAAAACGATCTATGAGATTGTCTTCGTTGCTCTGCCATGGCATCCTATTAAATAAAAAAAAAAAAAAAGAAACTTTCATTTAATCGCTTGGTTACTGCAAAACTCACATGTTTGCAGGACTAGCACCCGCAGCAGCTATTGCTGGATCCAGATATATCTTGCAGGGTCTGCCATGTAGTTGGAGAAATTGCGTAGGGTCTGATTTCTAAACAGAGCAAAAAGACATTGAATTACAATACAAGTTTGAACGATACTTCTCTATTGATTCAACTTTGAACACCATCACAAAAGAGAGAACATTTAAAAAATGTTTTTTATGTAAACTAATCTACTATACAGGGTGTACCAAAATTATTTGACACTCTGTTAAAGAGATTCCTAAGATTATTTGGAGACAATCTTTGCTCAGCAAAAATGTCGAGGATGGTCATCATTTTTTGCCATCATGTTTATTTTTGTAACAAAGCCTTAAATTAAAATTCTAAAGTAAACTCTATCTGAAATTAATTGCAGAATGTGATTTTGTTAATATTTTATTTCTACAAGGCTTAGTTTGCCAAAAAAAACGCTTATAACTCGAAAATTATTAGTGCCTTGACATTTTTACTGAGAAAAAATCATCTCCAAATAACCTGAGGAATTTCCCTATTAACAGGGTGTCTGGTAATTTTGGAACATCCTGTATTAAGCCATAGAAAAGACATTTTCTAGAAAAAACTTTTTTTTGCCGTACGAATTATACAAAGGAGACGGATTGGTTGCACATATGGAAAGTGTCTCCGCATCCTTACAATTTTCTCGTAGTAGTCCCGTCTACGTTCGGCTCTGCGACGATAATCGACCAGCATGCCGCGGATCTTCTTCTCCTGCTTGCGTGCCTCATGCCACATTCTGCCGCCGGTCTTCTTCACGGAGAAACTCATTTTCTTTCACCGGAAAGGCTCGGAGTCGCGCGGCTAGCTCGATGCGAATCCCATCCGCTTGCCTACGGTTCTTTCAGCTAAAAAATTGAAGCACTATAATAATTGACACGCTTTCTCATCCCGCGAAATGGACATATTGCCCTGTACTCTGTACAATAAGCAGCAGTCGCGATCTCTCTCGGAATAAACAGGAATTGTTACAATTAAAAATGATCGCCCGCGAATCATTTTGATAACGTCGCGATCTATAGAAATCAATATATTTAATTTTATTTAATTTTATATATATATATATATATATATATATAGTAAGTTATATTATTTTTTAAATTTTATATTACTTTTTACTTTTTCTTGATATTTATATTATTTTTTAAATTATATTATTAATTTTATATATATAATTTAAAAAGTAAATTGTATATTGTGCTATATCTATTATGTGAATGGCTAAAAAATTATCCAGATATACCAATTAAAAATTTCTTATCCTTATATATTTTTATTTACATTATCAAAGAGTATAAATATATTTCATTATTAATATTTTAAATAAAAAAGTATTATTTTCCTTAAATTCTTTTTCAAGATAATAAAATGTTACTGAATTTTACAATATCCACTCTTTTATATATATATATATATCACTTAATTATAAAAAATATGTATGTATGAGAAATTAAACTCGCTAAAATTGCTTTTAAAAATCATGTTCAAAAATATTTAAATATTTATGTTATATATTTTTATATACTTTTTCCTCATTTATATTTTTCAAAATATTCCTTTCTCTTGCACACTATTTTGCACATCTTTATTTATTTATTTAATTGAGTAAAAGTCAAAGCTATTTCGAACTGTGTATATTGTGCGTATATATATATATATATATATATATATACAATATGTTATTTTTTAATATTAAAAAAGGGTATATATGGATCGAGTGCACTACAAATATATCGGGAGAAAAAATAAGGTAACAGCAAAAGGTGAAGATGTTTTTGTTTATTATTAACCTTATGTAATATCGTTTCAAATTTTCAATTACATTATTATATATATAATAATAATTATAATAATCATCATAATAATGTTATGACAATGTATACACGTTAGATACAAGTTCATTTTCCTTCATCCGGTATAGAGTTTTTGTTAATTATTTTTTTTCATCTTAATAAATCGGTTTTTTTGTTTCCTCCTTTCTCTCACACATACATACACGCATACAAACGTACATATACGCATCCACATGTACACATTTCTGTCGATCGCTCGTTCATTAGTCCTTATATTCTTTTTTGTCCCGATTGTGGTGCATGTCATCGCATGGAAAAACGAGACATCATCGAGACATCATCACATATCTCACCTCTCGCATACTTAATTCTCAAAGGACGCTCGCACATCGCCTCTCAGGCGCATCAGTCATATTATAGTTATATTTGTTTCTGAACACAATGCTTTTACACATGACGTTAGGAAACTTAAGTTACTTTACTTCCCCGCCGCGGAAACATGTTCCAAACAATTTCAGAAGGATTAAGATTCGCACAAGCGCAACTTTTACAAAGACCGCTCGTTAAACATACATACATACATATGTATACATACATAATTTATTGTACTGGATATATTACAATTTTTGTTTACATTAAAATACAAAGAAGCGATCCCGTCTATTGCTTAATGTATTCGTTGGAATTGTTAAAAAGAAATTATGTAATATACCTGTCTAAAATGATGGTCCACAATCAGCTATCATATCGCAATTTTCTTCTTTATGAAAGAAAAAATAAGATAAAATAATATATATTATTAAATTATTTGATAAAAAACAGGCACATGTATAATATGTTTATATATGTATATAAGAATTGGATTTTTAAATTTATAAATTTAAAAATCCAATTCGACCTAACTGGCCAGTACAAAATATTATAACACTACGTTTCGACCCTCAGGTACGGATCCTTATCAAGTGTAATTGCACAATTAAAATATACATTGATTAAGATACGAAACCGTATTTTACAAAGTTGTTAACAAAGAAATTTAAAATAAAATATAATATAATGTACCTTTCGAGATGTTGACTCGAAAGCAGTAAAATTACTAATGTTAAACCGGAGAAAAATAAATTATTTTGACTTGTTTCAAAAAGGACCCGTACCTGAGGGTCGAAACGTAGTGTTATAATATTTTGTACTGGTCAGTTAGGTCAAAATTTTAATAAATTTAAATTTATAATTACAAACTTATAATCAATAAATAAAGAGAAATCTACAAGGAAAATGCGACTTCAAAAATTATATCACATGTGCATGCTTGAATCAAGATATATCATTAAAATACATATTATTACTTAGTATATGTCGATCTTTACAACATTCTAATCGGAACAATTTCTTTTACACGAAAGAAAAATATTATATATGTATGTATGTGTACATATGTACTTGAAATGCAGCGAAACGAATCATTTGGAACATGAATCGCGGCCGGCTCTTATACGTTATTAAATGTATACATCTCTGCTGTCTGTTAATTGGCTTAAATACTTTGCATTTTTTGCGACAGTTGTTGAGTGAACAAAATTCACATTTCACGATACGGTGATTCTCGAAAAATAAGACGTGCATACAAATATTGGAAAAAGCGAAAGGAATCATGCGGGCCCCTTTTCTTCCACATCGATACTAAACATACGTTTAAAACGCATTTCGTCGCGTTAAATCAATTCGTATAGCTACGCTTCGATCATTCTCGAGGTCTTGCTCGACTTTTCCTCTCGTTCGAAATGCCCTATTCTTCGAGAATCGTGGCTACCCTTCATTGTATGAACAAAATTGTCTAAATTGTCCGTCCCTCGGGTGACGGCGGTCGCTTAATCGCGCTTAATAGTCTCGCATCGTTATACTCAATCGATCGCTTTGTTTCTCTACACAGGTGTGTGTAAGAAAAAGAAAGAAAATAATTATTCTAAATTAAAAATCAACAATTGTCCAAAGCACGCAAGAGCTACACTATTTACTAAACGTGACGCTGTGTCCAGGAGTTTTAGAAATTGTGCATATCCTTGATTCGACTGAAGAAGAGAGGCTTATTTATCATCCTTGTAGGTGTACATATATATCAGAATTTCTTATATACATGTCCCAAAAGTCCCTCAACCGTTGTAAATATCTTGAAAAACGGCTTTTTCAGACAATGTTTCAAATAAAAATTGTAGGACTTTAAAGTAGGAATTTAAATGGCGTATTAAGTAATAATAGTGTAATTATAAATAACATTGTTAAGACTACGTAATATTCACTTTGAAATTTTTTTTTGAAATCCCTTTTTTTATTACACATATTCAAGAGCTTTTCAAAACATTAATAAAAGTTTTTTCCTGTTAATTATTTTTCGAATTATGAGGCTGTAAAGGAAATTCGCATAATTGTTTTTGAGAAAAAAATGTTGCATATTGTATAATTAAAAATATTTGCGTTCTCTCTACATCAATTGATTTGTCTAATTATTTTATGCATAAAAGTATTGCAGAAAGATTATCAAAAACTAAATATTTTCCAAGATATTTTGTATTTTATATCAAAATATTATAAACTTCCATTGGTTTAATCTTACTGACATTCAATCTTCTTACTTTGATTATAAACTTCCCTTAAACTTCAAGCTTTATAATTTGAATAGCACTGAAAAAATACTTTATTATAATGTTTTAAAAAACTCGAGATAAGATTGTGCAAATAAAAATAAGGGTTTTCATTAAAAAATTAAATTTTACACAATCTTAACACAATGCTATTTATAGTCACACAACTATTTAATGCGCCATTTAAAACTCTACACCTTTTATTTGAAACATTTTTTTCCAAAATTTTTTTTTCCAGACATTTGATTGTTGAAGAACTTTAAACATCCTGTATATATCGGAATTTTGTATATATATATTTTATATATATATATATATATATATATATATATATATTTTTTTTTTCTATATATAATATATATAGAAAAAAATATATATGGATATATATAGAATTACATATGTGTTGAATGAACCATCTAAAGATTATCTTGTAGATGGGTATCCTGTAGTGGAATAAAAGTCACTGAATTCAAGATCTCTTTCTCTCTGGATGATAAAAAATAGTTTCCGTATAGCTCCGAAAATACGATCACGTTCGAAGTAATGTTATGAACACCTTGTTGTTTGTTTTCGGAACCTGGTGACACAGCGTCAGATTTGTAATCATTCGGAATTCGGAAGAGGGCTCGTGCGTTGTGTGATATCATACACGCGATATTATCTATATCTTATAGAGCGTACTGATTTTTGCCGTTCAACAGGATATTCTCTGGCGAGGAAACACTTGGAATTTGTCACAGAAAATTCCGAGCGTTTTTGTTTTTTATTTCGTTTCGTTCTCTCTCTCTCTCTTTCTCTCTCACTCTCTCATTCGTTCTTTCTCTTTCTCTCTCTCTTTCTACACCCTAATAAATCATATTATCCTGTACAACTTTTTTTTTAACTGCTGAAATTATATCAAAAAGGTATCATTGAGGTAAGGTGCGCGACATATTCCGTTTTTTAAGTTTTGAATAATTTTTTTCTCCTTTCTCTTGTGTTTAAGCATATTTTATTATGTCACAATGAACCTCTCTATCTATTTTTATTTTTTTTAAGCATTGCTTCCGAGCTATCTAATCACAACACAGACTCATTACGACTCTTTGAATTTTTCAACGTATCTTATAAGCACTGTGATTGCCGTAAATCTCGATGCGATATAAAAAACATTTATGATACAGGCATCATTTCGTATTTCCTATTTGTCCGTCTCGGAGAGATTTACATTATTCGATATTGTTAGAAAATTTGTTTTCGCTCTCTCGGTAAACTTAAGTATAAATTCGAGTATAACAAACCCTCAACATCTCATGACAAGTTGCAATATATAGAATGCGTGTGTATGTGTGCATATTATCCATTGTTTAAAAACGTATCCGCAAATTCATTTCATCTCTGTGATGCAGGTATGTATAAAAATATACAAATCATTCGAAAGGCCGCGTGAAGAAAATGATTCTTAGCAGATCGAATGGCTTGTGAAACTTGTTAGACTTTTCTCAGCTCTACTTCGAAAAAGTATTTTATATTTTCTCTCATATATATATTTACAACTAATACAACAAGAAAAATTCAAAAATCTAAACTTCACAGTGAGACTCTCTCGTTATTACTTTTCCAGAAAATACATCGTAAGAATCCTCTTGGTCGTCTAATACCTTTTTCTTTTTTCGTTTTTTCCTTTTTTCTTTTTTTGGCCAAGCTCTTTTTTGACAACAGTCACAATCATGCAAACGAAACACGGTGCTTTAATTTAATTTAAGCCGCCACTATCTACCCGTTAAAATTTGTATATAAAAAAAAGAAAAAAGAAAAAGATATATAGCAATTAAAACGTTAAAGATGACGGATTGGGAATTATACATGCAGCTTTATTATTTTTTTTTCTTCTTACGGGAGACCTTTCATAAAACAATTAAAATTAGATCTAGAATGTCCTAAAGTAGCTAAACAATAAATTGATACGATCCGTCAGCAAAATGATTACGCGTCTGTCCTATGTATAATATAATAAACGACATACACAGATAAATTATTATCTAAATCTCTTATATAAGTCTCCATAGAGCATTCCTTCTTTTTTTCTTTCGTATATGTATGGAAGTATAAAAAGCCGCAATTATATAAAATATATTTCGTAAACGGATTTAAGTATTTTCACATTTTTCTTTCTTTCTTTCTTTTCCTTTTTGCTATCGTGATTACGAAAAAAGCAACATGCATAATTCTTTAAGATTTCTTTCTCTTTACAGCGTTATATTTATTATTAATTTCTATTAAAAGTGTCGTACTCTTTCTTTTTCTTTCATAACACATCTGGGTTGTGTGTAGAGGGATTTATTACGGTTGCATTTTTAATGGTCTGCCTTCAGGTACTATACTACACTTTTACAATTGGTAGTTTCGCAACGAAATGTGTTGGTTGTTAACGCGTTGATAAGAATAAGAAAGAAATTTATCGGCTTCTAACTTTTGTTCGTCATCTAGTCTTTCTTACAATCAAACGTCATGAATAATCAAAAGGGACTACGCAATTTAACTGATATTTAAAGCTCCTCACTCTTAACCTCGATCATGTTGGAATTGTGACGTCAGAGGCGAGAAAACACGCTAGAAATTCTCAGATACCATTTCGAAACAGCACTTCAGATGCCTTTGGCACACTTAAAATACCACGAAAACTATCCTTTTCCCCCTATCAACAGCTGTAAAATGAAGTCCAGTCTGGTCTTTGCAACGCAGTCAAAGAAAAAGAATAGTTTTCATATATAAAAATGTACTAAAGCTATCTGAAATAATGTTTCATCAGAATTTTCAGCGCGTGCTTTCTCGCCTCTGACGTCACAATCTAACATGAGCACGACAAGAATCCAGGAACCTTAAAAAAAGTATTTATGGCCGAATATAAAAATCAAGTCTTGCGTCACGTAATAGAGGGAATAAAATATATATATATATATATATTTATATAATCGATCGATGCGAATGACATAAGCGCAACGACCTTACATATCGGAGCAAAACGGCAAAAATCAATGACGATTGGCGTTGGAAACGTATGCATGTGATGAGAGTATACGCGCGTATTGTTTATTTATAAAGTATCTAGATTTCTCGTATGATTATATTCCATTTCTTGATTGATCTTACGTGTATGCTGTTTTTAACTTTCTTATTACTGTTTTTTTTCTTTATGTATAAATATGTAATTGTTGTTAAGCCGCGCGAACCCCGCGTTTGTTTAAAGTCCTTGCTCAACAACAAACTGACGTTCGCAACATCCTTGCATCCTTTCTTTTCTCATTTTTCTTTTCATTAAAGTAAATAAAATGGTCGAGTTTACATTGTCTCGTGTATGTATAATGTGTATGTATACGCATGTGGGTGGATGGGTGGATGTATGTGTTATCATCTCCTCACACATTTAAAAGCTAAACCCTAAAGCTGCACTCTTAATCATTCATTCTAAGTGTATTGTACAAATAACTAGCAGTCGACGCGACTGTTTGCTCGCAAAAAGTACTTGCTAAACCGTTTACATCCGTGACATCGTGTATAAAACTCTATTGGAGTACATGCTTACATTGGTAATATTCTTACTTTTTCCTCTTTTATTTTTTTCTTTCATTTACGCGGTAATAATAATTATAATTATCACTTTTTCGCTCTCTAGGCCACACAGTTTGATTGCCGAAAGTTTTCCCGCTCAGAGTCGTTTTTTTTTCTTTTTCGTTAAAAACCGCTCGGAGTGTTCGTGGAAATCGGGCACAGGACCCGAGAGGCCAGCTGGGTTCATCCTCACTGGACCATTACCGTCTGTCCGTGCTCGAAGCTTTCGTCAATCATCCGTGTTAGACACGTAGTAATATGCACGCTCAATGTAGGGCCAGTCAGCTCGATAAAAGATACGAAAATACAGCAACGTAACAGAAATAGAGGTTTCCCTCTCCCACATTCCTTTCCTTCTCCCTTCCTTCTCTCGCGTGTTCTCTTTTCTACTCTATTTTTTTCAGTCGTTATCGCCGCCGAGCTTAGAGTAAACTTCTGTGATCTTTTAATCTCAGAGAGAGATTTGGACTTTATATTATGTGTCTTGTGGATATCTTTTTGTCCTGGGTAATTTTTGTCGTCTGTATTTTTCAGAGAATTGTTCAGCCAAACCAACGTGTGTCCGAAAAATTTGTTAAATTCTCACTGTCGAAGTTAATCGCTGATCGCGAACACTGGTGTGCTTCTTCTTTTGTTTTCTTTTTTTTGGGGGGCTATGTGCTTCGGAGAACGATGTTTGAAAAGCCATTCCTTTCCTTCTTCCCTCGTCTACGATACAGTAAAATTCAATACCGTAAACGAACGTTCAAAAGTATGCCACGATATCTCCATCCGGTATATGATAAATCAGCTAAATTCTCTTTCTCTTCCATCGTTCGGTCTTGCAAATTGCCTATAATAAAATCAGCCGTATTGTCCACTTCTACATTCACCCCCTCAGTGAATAGCGACCGGGCTCTGTTGGACGCAGACACCGACCATCGGGCTGTCCTCTCTCTCCGCTGGATCCCGCTGGTTGCCGGTCGACACCGTCGACGGTTGCCTGACCATCCCATGCGCGTCGGCGGTCGAGTAGCTGTAGTTGTAGAAGTTCTGCTGCTGAATCATTGGCGAGGTCATCATCGCGGGCAGATGGGGTATATTAGGAAGAATTAGGCTATTGTACGATCCAAGGGAGCTCTGTATCAGGGAGCTGTCCATGGACGACGATTGCATGGACGTCGTCATCGGGGCCGATGACGCGGCCGATGTCGATGGGTAGCCCGTTGTTATGGCACGCCGACCTCCGCCGCCCGTATGACGGGGCGAGGACTCGCAGTCCATGGGTTGGTAACCGCCACCAGGGAGACTCGACGTCTGGATCTGCTGCAGACTGCCGCTGCCGCCCTGTCCCGACATGGTTACCAGTCCTGGGACATCGAAAAGGGGGAAATTAATTTCAGAGGTCGGGCAAAAAATCTCTGATATATATATATATATATATATATATATATATATATATATATATTTATATACACTAATGCCATAATCATCCACGCAAACCGCTCTAGCTCTTACAATTGAGTAATCACTAATGGGAATAAAGAGAAATAAAATGTCAAACGTCTACAGGGACATGTTTGCAGGCAATAATTTCCACTAGCACCTTTCCTTCACGCACATTACTCTCCAAGATTAAGGCTCTCTTAGATCCTCGCCGCGGTGATGTCAGATTGTGACGTCAGAGATGAGAAAGAGCATACGCTGAAAGTTCTTAGATATTATTTTTAAATGAAAAGATATTTCGACGAAACATTATTTCAGATTGTCATTGTTTCAGCTTTAACACATTCTTAAAATAAACAACTCTTGAAAATTATTCTTTTTGCTTGACAGTCAATCAAGCCGCATATTACAATCATTATACAGATACAGCTTAGAGTTGATTGATTATAAAGGGAAAAGAATAGTTTTCGAGATATTTTAGGAGTGTGCTAAAGTCATCTGAAGTCCTGTTTCACCGAAATATCTTTTTATTTTGAAATGGCATCTAAGAATCTTTAGCGTGTATTTTTTCGCCTCTGATGTCATAATCTAACATAGCTGCGATGATGATCCAGGAATCTTAAATACGTAGAGATTCTATACAGAAATATTAAAAATTGCAAAAATTATCTCTCTATTACAATTTCTTCTTCCTTCTTGTGAATTTAATACAACCGATAAAAAGTAATAGATATTTTACACGTACTGTAACTCGTAATTACAAAGTTACGATCAATCTTAACTCCTACGATGCGTTTTATTTGCTGCAAAATATATGCGCTTATGGAATATAATTGACATCGTTCGTAATATTCGAGTAATTACATCATATATACCGTCATTTAAAGAAGACACGGATTCTTTGGTTTGTCATCCTTTATATAATCGCGATGCAGCGTGATCTTCTCTTAATTATGTACGTAATAGTTGATGTGCAATTGGGGCCATACATTAGCACAAACTTAAGAAGAGGGGTTTATAATAAATAAATAAATATATATATATATAATATATATATATATATATATATATATATATATATATATTATTGAGACGGATAAGACTTATTATTCACAAAAACGTTACTATTTCATGTCCCATTTACAGCACTGCACTTGGTAAAGTGCACAATGTAAGCAGCTAAAGCATGCATAACAAAACTAGAAGACAATGATGTGACTTTTCTACAAAACAGAAATTCGCAATTAACACAGAGATGCAATTTACTTTCAGTTGGAATATGTTTTGCAATCGTGATAATGAAATCCATCATCCCCGACAATATTCAATGTACAAACAATCATCATCATCATCATCATCATCATCATAAATCGCTTTCGATCATCATCGGCGAAAGCAAAACGATATAGGAAAGAAGAAACATATTCCAGCAGTCACACGACGTTCTTTATCCTTTTATTTTTTTTTGTCCTTATATGTTCTAAGATATTGTCATCAAAAAGGACAGTCTTATGTAATAAAACGAATGATCGACCTCGTATATAGTGGACACTGTAATACAGGGTGTCCCAAAAGTCCTGCAACAGTCAAATGTCTGGAAAACATAAGCTTTTTGAAGAAAAAGTTTCAAATAAAAGTTGTAGGGCTTCAAGTGACGCAATAAATAGTGACGTTACAGTAGTGTGACCAATAGCATTATTAAGGCCATGGAAAATTTAATAATGCTATTTATAATTACAGTATTATTACTACTTAAAGCCTTACAATTTTTATCCGAAACATTTGTCTCAACAAACCTTTGTTTTCGAGATATTTAACAGAATTTTTGGGACATTCTGTATAAGTATTGTATCAAATACATTGTGTTAATAAAATTCGAGAGGACACGGGCTACAGAGGAACGTCAATCCATGTCTCTCAGATAGGGAATAGTAGTCTTTTCAAGCAAGCAAAGGCTTCGCGCAATACATCCGAGGCCAGGATATATGATTATTAGGGACATCGTTAATCTTTTAGCGTGTGTATCTGTATCGTGTATCGTGTCTATGTGTGTGTTAGTGTGTAGGATTGTTTGTTAGACAGAACTTACTTATGTTAGTAAGTAAGATTAGGGTTGGGGCCTAGGACAGGTCGTCGCCGCCCCGCGGATACGACAGTCATCGAGCCACGTATTGTCCCCCCATCATATCTACGGGCAACAACAAGTATCGTTTAGTTTGCGCAGAAAATAAAAAGTGTATTATTATTTAAAAAAAAAATAAAAAAAGGAAAGGGAAGAATCGCCGTTCATTCATATCGAAACGTTGCCTAATATGTTAATTATCCTGGTCAGTTAGTCGGGTTTTCGAGGAGAATGCTAAAAACATCTCACTTCGTAGGATAAATAATTAACAGAGATGGAGAATTTATTTTCTGCACAAATCAAAACCTTCCTAAACTCTCAATATAAAATACAACTGTCCGTCCTGAGTTTCTGTTTATATCTACCTTGTGCTCTCAATTATTCAGAATAACAGCTCAGAGGTATCGTTAGCCACAATCAAACGTTTGTATTTTTCTGTCTTAAATCGTTTGTAAGAACGATGAAATTTCCTGTAAGCAACTGTCAAAAGACTTTATTGCAGCCTGAACAAAATATATAATTGCAGTTAATTATTTATTTTTAGATATCTGCCTCTTTTCTTATATTATTACATTTTTATATAAAATTATCTATCAAGTGGGCAGTGAAAATTGCAAAGTTTCCTTCTGCATCGGCGTTCGCGTTTTTGCGACAAAGGCCGACTCAGAGAAAAAACTATGGATTAAAATGTATCATCAGGCAATCAAGTATGATATTAATAATGAATGATGAATGAAATCAAGCGACATAGAGCCATACTTTGATAAGTAAGATCATGTTTCTCGCTGCAATTAATCGTTTTAACGTACAGTTATCGTGACATAATGCAAATCTGACATGTTTTCAACTTTAACACATTTAGCAGAGAGTAGTTCACGTTATTCGAATCGATATCAAACACGGAAACATATATATATATATATATATATATATATATATACATATATAAAGAAAAACAGCGCACAATGTATGTTGAAAACCTGCCAGAGTCTCGAAGAAACTCAGATGTGAAGCACACAAATGCGTAAATCGTATTACTTCTCTCCTCTATGTTACACAAATGATTCGGCGAGATCGAAGAATGCGGCGCGGCTCGGCCAACGACTCACCATGATCCTGGCTCATCGACACCACCGCCGGACTCGTGCTCGCGCTATTCGCAGCGGCGACATTCGTGTTGGTCCCCTCGTCGGCCGTCCTCTTGAAGAAGTTGTGTTGGAGCGCGTAATACGGCGTCACCCTCGTCTTCGGATCAAAGTCCAGCATCCGCACGATTAGGTCTTTGAACTTGAGATAGTCGGACATCGAATGACCGGGCTCGCCTATCCTTCTGCCACCCGGGCCGCCGCTCTCGACACCTAGAATATCGTGCAAGCGCCTCGTGCCCGGAGGTTTGTATTTTTTACCGTCCTTGGACTTTTTCAGCACGTACGAGCCATCCGTGGGGACTTTGTCAAAGTACTTCCGCGCCTTGTGCGCTTGGTCCAATATGTGTTTTGGCGGCATTCCTAGTACTTCTACGATTTTGTTCATTTGATCGACCTGCAAATCATACAGAATCTCTTTATATTGTCAAAGTTCATTTGTCATTGTCATTGCGCGAATATGGCCGGTAAAATCCGATAGCGTCTCGTGCCATTGATGAGATTTATCGAGAGCTATGGATTTTTGGATTAAACAGAACACGCGTAACAATTGGGTTTTTGGGTTCGTTTTTATTACCTCATTGGCCCCACTAAACAAAGGTTCTCCCGTGTGCATTTCTACTAAAATACATCCCAGACTCCACATGTCTATCGCGAGGTCATAAGGTATTCCTAATAGAACTTCTGGTGATCTGTAGAACCTGGATTGAATATACTGGTATATCTACAAACACAGGAAAAAAAGAAGAGAAGCAAATGAGACGGTTCGAGGAACAACTCCGAGAACAGGGCTAAGGGTTAATTAACGTCTTTTTATAAGATACCCACTCTTTGTCCAAGTTGACACGAACTACCAAAGTCGACTATCTTTATCGCACTTCGTTTGGGATTGCATAAAAGGATGTTTTCGGGTTTCAGATCACAGTGAATGATGTTCAATTCCGGTGTAGACAGGAACAAGAGGGCAGTACACAGTTGCTGTGCAAACTTTCTTGTCAGATTTAATGACACTCCTCGGAAATTCGTATTTCTAAGTAGGTCATACAGATTATACGACAGCAGCTCGAATACCAGACATAAGTGATTCCGCCACATAAAATGCCTCTTCAGTTTAACTGTAATCGAGAGAAAGAAGAAGGTATTAGACGTTGCACGCGTCAAGAATATTCATACAAAGTGTCCCGTAGAAAAATGCTGAAACTAATCAGCTGTCATTTTTTAATGCATGCAGTTATTGAGAAAACAAAATTGTGTTGGAAAGAGGAAAGTTTGCAGTTTTTAATGGATATATAAATAAAATGTTTGTGTATACCAGTTTATTTTATTGATACAAAGTAAAAATGCTAATAATCACAAAATTACATAAACTAATAATAAATACTTTCAACAGTGCCAGATTTAATAGCAGCTATTAAAAGAATCGCCAATAACATTAAAAATGACAAAAAATGTAGTTTTCGTAAAACAACAGACTTTTGTACAAATTCAAATGGTGCGGCACTTCAAAGATATTCATCATTAGTTTACATATGAGATTATTAGCACTTTTTTCATTACTTTTTTTCAATAAAATAAAGTGGAGTACAAACATTTTATTTATATCCATTAAAAATGCAGATTTTTCTCTTTCAATATAATTTTTGTTTTCTCAATAACTGCATGCATTAAAAAATGACAGCTGATTAGTTTCAGCATTTTCCTATGGGACATGTATGTATGTGTGTGTGTGTGTGTACATATAAAATACACAATGCTTATATTTCTCGTGAGTATACCTATATAATACTTGTTGTCGGTATCCGCTCTGTTCATCATTTCCAATAGCCTAACTTCGATTTGCGCTTGATTTAGAAAAGGCTTCTTGTTCTTGATGATTTTTATTGCCACTTGCGTCTGCTCTTCGTGGTCAAACGCTTTCACTACTTGGCCAAAACTGCCTTTACCTGTAAAACAAAAAATGTTAGAAAACTATAGAATAAATGATTACCTTTACAAAATAATATACAAGTATTTAAAAAGAAAATAATATATATGTATAGTATATGAAAATTTACTAATATACCATTTTCGTTTTTAATTTGTACACTGAAAAAAATTTGTTAACTTGACTAAACTTTTCAACTAAATTACTACTTTGTTAATTGAACATATATTAGTATTCAAGTAAAATATACATTTTGTTAGATTTAATTTAAATATTTTTTATACAATATGTTCAATTAACAAAATATTAGTTGAAAGATTTAGTCAAGTTAACCAATTTTTTTCAGTGTATATATTTAATATATTTCGTTAGGAAAAATATACGCAAAATCTTACGAGAAGTAAAACATCGATACATAATTTTTTACATACCTAATTTAAAAATATCTCATGTCATCAATTATTCCGATATTGTTCGTGTGCTCAAATTATATAACTCCTTTCCAGTCTTTTCTTACCTATTAATGAATCGATCTCGTATCGATCGAGGAACTTTTCCCCATTCTTGATAATATAATCGTGATTATCGTCGTCCCAGCCATCGTTGTAAAGTTTCCTCTCCTTTTTATGCGAACCATCCTCTCCTTGCATCTGCTGTGCTCTCCTTTTCTTCTTCGCATAGTAAACCTGGAAAAGAAATCGATGTAAGCAATCGTTGCAAAATTCCTTAATAAAATTCTGCGAAAAGATATCCAAAATGTGAGAATAAAAATATTCAATTATCATATGATAAACTAAATAATTTTATAAATACAACAGCCTATATTATATTATATTATATGTCGCACATGATTACGTAATATTTTTCTATTTTATTTCCCTTATTTTTAATCACAACTCGAATTTTCTTCTCAACATCATTTATTATTAAAAAACGCTCTAATATTTATTATAAAAAAACTGTTTTATTGCATCATATAAAAAATGATAATTAACTCTAATTAGCACGTTTATAATCAAAATTCGAACAATCGATCGAACGTTCGTCTACGCTGATCAATCAATCAATCAATCAGACTAAAAGATGAGATAAAAAATTTTTAGATTTTAGAAAAATTTTTAGAGATATAAATTCATTTTAAATAAAATAAAGATAATTTTGTTTTAAATATATCTGGATAAAAGATAAAATAATATAATGATTCATTTAGATAATAATTTTTAAGACTGCTTATATAAACATAGTTATAAAAAAATGAAAATTATAAAAGGGATATAAAAATATATGTATTCATATTTTTATTTATAAATTTTTATCGCTTACTACTTAAATTCTACTATTTAAGTATTTTTTTATGTGCTACAATTCTGAATCAAAATTCTTCTAGATAATTTAGTAAAGTAGTAATTTAGTAATTTAGTAATAATACTTTTTTTCATCTAAGATGCAGATATAGATAGAGAGTACACATTTTTATTATTTATCTAAAGATAAGACAACGCCAAAATTTTATCTAGATATATTCATATTTTTATAAATTTGTATCGCTTACTACTCGAATTCTACTATATAAGTATTTTTTATATGCTATATGATTCTAAACCAAAATTATCTGAAAATTATAATTTAGTAAAGATAATACTTTTTTCATCTAAGATGCAGATATATATAAATAGTACATATTTTTATTATCTATCTAAAGATAAGATTTATCTAGATGATCATCTATATAATTTTATTTAGATAACAGCAAACACTGCTCGCACAGGTAGACCTTAGTAGAGGTCCATGACGTTTCGCGAAAGAGAGAGAGAGAGAACGCTTGTCCGATCGATTCGCTTATATTTTTCACGACGTATATAAATCCGCGGTTATGCCGCCTTATTCGCCTGAAAAGCACGCCCTGGTCAAAATGCCGTCACGATTATCCACCCTCTCTCATCCCTCTCTACCTCCCTTCCCACCCTCTCCGCCTCCGTGTGTGTTTCTCTCGCTCTCCTCCTAAAAAGCGTCATATTCGCCGTAAATATCCCTCGTCTAGGAAGGTGAAAGGATGGCGCGCGACGAGAGGGTGGATGAAGGGTGGAGGGAGTCGAGAGCGAAAAGGGCGCAGAATCCGATCTGCCGCCTCGTCCGGGAATCGATATGCTCGCGAGACCACGTGAAAACCATGCCGTGCGAAAGCCGATAGGAGACCAGACTCTCCTCGGGAGTCTCTCGAAGAAGAGATGCTTCTTCTCCATCCGGATGAGATGAAGAAGGGAGAATTGAACATTGGACGACGATGACACGGCATCCAGATTTGGGCGAAGAACCCTGCACCAAATGGGATTTTTTGTGTGGATGTGCCTCCTTTTTTTCTTCATACATTGTAGCTTATTTGTTCAGCAATCATGAGAGAAGACCAGCTGATCTTATCAAGATTCAATTTTATATAATTACTACTCTCTAAGTTTCTTGGAGTGAAAACTGAACAATCTCATTCCAAAAGAGTGGAATTTTATCCAAAAAGAGTGAGATTGCACTCTTTTGGAGTAAAATTCCACTCTGAACAATCTCATTCCAAAAGAGTGGAATTCTACCCCAAAAGAGTGAGATTGCACTCTTTTGGAATGAGATTGTTCAGTTTTCATTCCAAGAAATTTAGAGAGTAGGTTTTTGAATCTATATAAAATCCTAGAGAAAATCCTAGATTGAATTCTGATAGTCAGCTGATTTTCTCACAGCTCATCTTACCAAGATTCAATTTTATATAATTAGTAGATTTTTTAATCTATATAAAATCCTAGATTTTAAATTCTGGTAAAATCAGCTGTTTGACACGGCATCGAGATTTGGGCGAAGAACCCTGCACCAAATGGGATTTTTTGTGTGGAATTGCCTCCTTTTTTTCTTCATACATTGTAGCTTATTTGTTCAGCAATCATGAGAGAAGACCAGCTGATCTTATCAAGATTCAATTTTATATAATTACTACTCTCTAAGTTTCTTGGAGTGAAAACTGAACAATCTCATTCCAAAAGAATGGAATTTTACCCCAAAAGAGTGAGCTTTTGGAATAAGATTGTTCAGTTTTCATTCCAAAACTGAACAATCTCATTCCAAGAGTGGAATTTTACCCCAAAAGAGTGAGATTGCACTCTATTGGAATGAGATTGTTCAGTTTTCATTCCAAGAAATTTAGAGAGTAGGTTTTTGAATCTATATAAAATCCTAGAGAAAATCCTAGATTGAATTCTGATAGTCAGGTGATTTTCTCACAGCTCATCTTACCAAGATTCAATTTTATATAATTAGTAGATTTTTTTAATCTATATAAAATCCTAGATTAAATTCTGGTAAAATCAGCTGTTTGACACGGCATCCAGATTTGGACGAAGAACCCCGCACCAAATGGGATTTTTTGTGTGGAATTGCCTCCTTTTTTTCTTCATACATTGTAGCTTATTTGTTCAGCAATCATGAGAGAAGACCAGCTGATCTTATCAAGATTCAATTTTATATAATTACTACTCTCTAAGTTTCTTGGAGTGAAAACTGAACAATCTCATTCCAAAAGAGTGGAATTTTATCCCAAGAGAGTGAGATTGCACTCTTTTGGAGTAAAATTCCACTCTGAACAATCTCATTCCAAAAGAGTGGAATTCTACCCCAAAAGAGTGAGATTGCACTCTTTTGGAATGAGATTGTTCAGTTTTCACTCCAAGAAATTTAGAGAGTAGGTTTTTGAATCTATATAAAATCCTAGAGAAAATCCTAGATTGAATTCTGATAGTCAGCTGATTTTCTCACAGTTAATCTTACCAAGATTCAATTTTATATAATTAGTAGATTTTTTAATCTATATAAAATCCTAGATTAAATTTTAATAAAATCAGCTGTTTCCTCACAGCTGATCTTACCAAGATTCAATTTTATATAATTAGTAGATTTTTGAATCTATATAAAATCCTAGATTAAATTCTGATAAAATCAGCTGTTTCCTCACAGCTGGATCTTACCAAGATTCAATTTTATATAATTAATAGGTTTTTGAATCTATATAAAATTCTAGATGAAATCCTAGATTGAATTCCGATAAAATCAGCTGAAATTCAATTTCATCTAGAATCTTATGTAGCTTCAAGAATCCCATACTAATTATATAAAATTGAATCTTGATAAGATCAGCTGGTTTTCTCATGTTTTAACTTATGACCTGCTGAACAAAAATGTAATAAGCTCGTAAGCTATTTATAATAAATAGTTACTGATTTACAGCCAGTAAAACACCAAAAAATTTGAGCTCTACGAGTTGTTTGACTATGACTATAACTCAGTACTATCCAATATTTAGCATTACATCAATTACATATTTTGTTCGGCAGAACATAATTTAACAACATATAAAAAAAAAAGTCAATTTCACTAAAAGTTAAAATCCTACACTGAAACAAAAATTTGTTAATTTCACTAAATCTTTCATAACTAAATTACTATTTTGTTAATTGAACATATATTAGTTTTTAAGTCAAATATACGTTTTGTTAGATTTAATATGTTACACATTTAAAATATTTTTATATGTTTAATTAACTAAATAATTTTAGTTAAAAGGTTTAGTCAAGTTAACAATTTTTTTTCAGTGTAGGTACATATTTGTAGTCCACTAAAATTAAACTTGAAAAGGACAAAATTTCATAAAAATTAGGAACAAGCTGAATTTGTGTGAAGACCATTATTTCGATGTTCTAATAAAAGTACCCTTAATTTCAGCCAGAGGGATAAATTTTAGTTTTTGCCATTATCTCGAAAACTATCAATTTTTCGAGAAAAATAGCTATTATCAAAATTGTAGCTCATAAAATTCCTTACAAAAAAGGTTATTATACTTGTTTTCATACAACTAATCGTTTTTGAGTAAAACGTACGATAAAGTTTAGAATTTTTCTGCACCTCTTAAAGAAGTGCTTCAGCTGGCTCCTAATTTTCATGAAGTCAAAGTCTAGTTTTACTGGACTATTTGATGCAGGGTCCTTTTCGAAAACCAGGAATGGAGAAGGCGAAAAAATCCCCCTCGCGAATCGGGCGGGATCGAGGTGGTTGTTTCGGCGCTCTGGCGCGCCTCCATCCGCACCACCCGGGTCATCGACACGGTGATGGTCAGTGCTGTATCGGCGTCTAGTTACTCTATTTCGGCATCGATTGTGTGTATCCCCCTGCGGTCGAAGAAGGGTATACGAGAAAGGCACCTATTCGCCGCGACGCGACTAATGAACCCTCTCTTTCTCTCGATATGCCCGGGAGAGGTCTCTCTTCCAACACTTTCCGGAAGAGAATCGTCTCCCTCCTGCTAGTCCCCTTGGACGACGGACTTATTTTTGACTTCGACACTACGTGTCAGCTCAATTATTTATAAAAGGAACAGACAGGACGAAAATCTTCCCCCTATCTCGTTGCTTATTGTTGCAAAGCCGAAGAAACACGTTCGAATAATTCATACCTCTTACAAGAACGTGAAAAGTGCCGAGGAAAATTAAACATTTTTTATTACGATGTGCGATACATTTATTAAAAGAGTTTCCGATAATTAATTAGCTTCTTGAGACTCGTATAATGAAAAATTTGTGAGATGACGTTTTTGACAGTTCGTGTGCTGATGAACCTTCGTACGTAAATTAGATTTTATTAAGTAAATATATTGAAA